GAATTAACATAAGAGTCTGTCCATTATTGGTTTAAGGCTCTGGTCTCTCTGACCACTTTTCTCTTTTTGCAGAACACCATGTGAATTAACTTCTCTGACTCACGTACTTCTCCAACTGTTCGGTCTCTCGCCCCAGCTCTCCGGTGTGTATACCTCACTCAAGCTGCGTTTGTCGGTGTGTTTCCTGGAACACTGAAAAAGTGCCGTAAAGGCTAGAAAAGCTGCGCCGGTTAAAATAGAAGCGCTACGTCAACATTTTATAATTCTCAAATAAATATCTGTTGTAGGTCCAGGTCCGGATAGAACGGCGTCTGGGTACGGACACGGACCGCAGTCTGCCTATTAGTGACCCCTGCTATTGTAAATCACTGTACAGCACAACACGTTACAATACAATAAAATACATAAATACAATACAAAATAGCAGATTTTAAAAAACAATGAGAGTATATAATGGCAGTGCCAGAGATGCGGTAGTATGATTACTCGTGATTGCAGGTTTGGTTTGCTTCAAGTTATATCTTTAATTTATGTTTAAAAGTTAGGTAATAAGTGCTATTTCTTAATTCAATAGGAAGTCTATTCCAGTTTGGGTGGCTCTGACAATTGTTTGTTTGTTTGCCCAAACTTATTACGTTTGTATTGTACAACACAGTCCTTTCTGGTATTTGCCTTTGTTACCCTGCTGCTACCATCCTTCTGCATTTTGAACTGATTCAGTTTGGGAGGCGCAAGCCCATGTAGAACCTTAAAGACGGGGAAAGCATCTGCAAAATATTTAAAACTATCGAAATGAAATTGACATTTGAACTATATTGTAATGGTGATGGATATTGGCCTTTCGGTCAAGTGTTTTTAGTGTCTGTTTGTAATGGGACTCAATAGGTTTCAGAGTTGTCATGCTTGCTTACGACCAGCTTGTAAAACGGTAATGTGGGAAAATATAGCATGCATAAAGAGTTTGGCTGCCACTGATGTTAGGTGTGGTCTTATATGCCTAAAGTTATCCAGGTTGAATTTGATAGTACCGGCTACCTTTTTAGCATGCTTTTTAAATGACAGATTTGAATGTTGACAGATGGCCAAACTGAAGGCAGGTCATTAATGTACAAGCTAAACAAAAAGCGGCCCGGTATTGATCCTTGAGCAACACCAATGTCGCAGTTAAGGCATGTTGTTTAAGTATTGTCAATAAGTACACTTTGGTTCCTGTTTGTTAGATATGATTTCATCCAATTAATGGCCTCAGAGACATTAAAAGAGGATAGTTTTAAAAGGAGTACCTCATGGTTCACTGTATCAAAAGCCTTCTTTAAATCAAGAGAAACTGCACCTGTTTCACCACCTTCATCTAATTTTGATTTGACATTTTCAAGAAAATAGCAGTTCGCTGTTTCTGTTGAGTGGTTGGTGCGAATCCAAATTGCATTGGGTGCAGAGGGGTATCACCCATGTCAAAAGTCTGCCACTTCAGACTTTGGTAAAATGCTGATGGCTCCATAGTTCCCTACAGTTGTTTTGTAACCAGCATTGAAAATAAAAGGCTGTATTACTTAAGAAAATGTAAGAAGGTAAAATTTGAATCAGTATGATCAATCCTTTAGCAAAAGTAACAGACAAATGGTACCAGGCAGACAAGTGGCTAGGAGGTCAGGCTAATCCAACCTGGTGCTAGCCGGTTCACCAGAATTGCAAGTGAAAATTGTGGCTGGACATGGAACGCATTCAGAACTGCCAGCAATTACTCAACAGCTGGCTAAAGATCTACTTTGGGCTCCAAGCCAACTGCTTATCTTTAGGGTAAATTAACTACCACTACTTAACTACTACTAAATTAATCTAGACTTAGCTGTGGGCTAACCTCTGCCCGTGACTGGAGCATCTAGCAATAGGAGGAATGAATTAGTCTGGAGCGACAACGCACCAATTTTGTAAATTGTGACTCTCCACTATTTAGAATCCAGCTCATTCATAAATTGGTGATTCGAAGCATATGACCATGTCAATCCATGATCTTAGGGCTTTTCTGTAATCAAAATTATTTTAAAAAGAGTACTTGATGGAACTGACATGCAGCTGTTTTTTGCCTGTTAAGGCTATGGACTTGTGCATTTCATAAATTGTATTAAATAAAACATTGCAGGAGAATTAAAAAGATTTTATTCCTGGAGGGACAGAAGACAAAGCGGGAAAACAGCACGTTGTGTGACTACATACAATATTCCTCAACATGTTATCCGCGCTGGTCATCCCGTTAATGCAGTAAGTCAGCCAAAGTGCTGTAATGGTGTGGTGTAACAGCAGCAAACATTCAGCTTTCTCTCAGAAGGGAGCACTTTCAATTGTTATCATTATTTGTGCTTTAGTATTTGAAGCATTTCTGTTAATGACTGAGTTTTTACTTTTTTGGAGTTGTCAAGTTTGTATGCAAGTCTTTGTGCTTTTGCATATGTTGGGGCGGCTGTAGCTCAGAGGAAGAGCGGCCTTCAATTTGCGGATTGGCAGTTCGATCCCCTTTACAAAGAATTCTATCATTTGATTTGTGTGCATATTAATTATTAGTCCCTATACACCAAACTCTGTAGCAACTCTGAGATTGAGACTTAATTGATCAATACCAAATTTTGATGTTTTTCCTGGTTTTCCAAAGTTGAAATATGTTGCTTAAACTAATTGTGTCTTATAGAAGATGAGCACAAATTAATATAATAATTTCTTCTTATGAGCAGTGAGACTGGATTGCATGTAATGTGTTAAAATGATATGTCGGCACCATGGAAACAATTTAACTTTAGATTTAAGCAACAAAACCACTTAGTTAGGTTCACGGAAAAACATCATGAACATAACTTCACAATAACTCAACGCTTCTGGAAACAAACAGCGGTCTCATGGTTGAAAGACCTGTTTGTATGACCTATCAATTTCACCTCCCTCCCGCCAACCGTAATTAGTATTTCTCAATATTTGAATACGTCACTATCTCTGACCGTTGCACATGGTACGTTTTTAAATTGTGTGTCCACCCTCAGATAGTATCTTAATCAACTTTTAATTGTCATGGTTTCTGTGGTGCCTACATGTATCAATAACACATTACATGCCAGCACAAGTTGTGGTCATTTCACATATTTATGTGAGTACCATAGTGGTGAGAAAAGTATGTGACTTTGGTGCATAAGATTTAATTACCCCCATGAAAGCAGGAGAAAATCAATAAGACAAAGAAAGGGGTAGTTGCTGAGAGGCATACTGCGAGTCAGGCAAAAAATACTGCTTCCCCCCCTGCAATTGATCCATAGGTAGATAAAACCTGAACTCATTGAGATATGAAGAGATGGCTCGCTGTTGAGCTTATTTTCTGTAACCAATAGCATGGTTGAATAGCAGTTAATTAGCAGATGGCAATCTACTTAGCTAGCTTGCTACACTGGTTAGTTACAGTGTTACATGTTGTGGGGCGACTGTGGCTCAGTGGTAGAGCAGGGTCGTCCTGCAATCAGAGGATCGGCAGTCTGATCCCTGGCTCCGCTAGTTCATGTCGATGTGTCCTTGGGCATGACACTTAACCCCAAGCTATGCCTGAGGTGTGTGAATGGGTATGTTAGAGTCCTGATGGGCAGGTGACACCTTGCATGGCAGCCCTTGCCATCAGTGTGTGAATGGGTGATCGATGAGATGTAGTGTTAAAGCGCTTTGAGTTTTCGGACGATGAGAAAAGCGCTCTACAAGTACAGCCCATTTACCATTTTACAGGATGTATCAATGTATGTGTATGTATCAGTGGTGGGCCGTCAGGGCAAGCAAAGCCTTCTCTGCTGGCCTAAACAGAATCACAAAATTATAGCTATTTTATAATTTAATACATTTTCATAAATGCACTACATGTATTATAATTTTTTTACATCTGCAGTAGCGTTAATACTGTGTTAATTTGTCTATGGTGTCGTTTTTATGATGTGGTTAATATTGTTCCCTCTGATGTGAATAATATTTGAATGGTTCGTGCTCTTCAGTGTGCGGTGGAATACGTGTTGTAGCGCTGCAGTGTTGCTGGATTGGTTTGTCATGCTTTGTTGTCATATAAATATGTGTGACTGGTTCTTGTGAGTTTGTTCTTGTCATTGTGTTAAATACATTGATTTTGACTATATGCATCCCGTCATGCACAGGGTTAGGGTCAGACATTTGATTCTCTGTTTGGGCTGTTTTCTTTAACAAAGCAAGAATGATGGTCTGGAGAAATGGGGATTGTGCGGCGATTGCTTTAGACCTGTTTCAATCAGTATGGAACAGCTAAACGCTGCTGGGAGAGTTTGTAGCTTGTGTGTTGCTGTTTTCCCACTAAGCTAGTTTAGGGTCGCGTGTATAATATTTTTTTTCCAGGGTCGGAGTGTCAGTCTGTTACGTCATGTGGGTTGCCAGTTTGAGCACAGTGGGTACACCGAAAACATTATATTTCCCACAATTTAAGCTTCTACATTTTCCAAATGCACTAGTATTATTCAAACGTATTGTTCGGATCGTAAGCCTCGTACCGAACGGTTTAATTCGAATACGTGTATTGTTACACCCCTAGAAACAAATAACGTAGCTGTGGCGTCATAATGAGGTTATTAGGAGGTGGTTCAACTGTAGTCGGACAGCACAGAAGGCCCAGGTATAAAATGCACGGCCCGCCACTGGTATGTATTAATGTTCCGAACAAAGCTGTTCTCACTGACACTGATACAACTACTTCTGCTTTGATGCTGCTGACATACTGCTTTTGCACAACATTTGCCCTTCCATAACTGTAGACAAGGTGTGTTAGACAAACGTGTGTTTGCTCTAACCAACTTTATTGCTATACGACATGTGTAACCAGTGACATAGATTGGAGTACATAAAGTCCAATAATATAATATTTGAATTCAAAACCTCTACCTCCTCTAATAACCAACCTACAGAGACATAAAGCATATTAGTTGGATACTTAAACAGCACACACACACACTCACCCATTCCTTTGGTGTGGCTGAAGTTTCCTTTCACTATCTTACAGGAGCGCCCATCTCCGTTACATAAACCACAGCGGTCCTCTTTGGCTGAAGTTCCGATGATGCCGTCACAGCCAATTTTCTGAACACAACAAAACAGTAAAGAACAGTAAATCAAACATTGATGAGTTGCTTTTGTAATGTTCACTGACTTGTGAGTGTCTTTTTTTGTATAATTTTTTATTTAGAAAAGAAAAATACATTGTATACAGGGAAAATGCCAGCTTATCCTGGTGTCATATGTAGTTCATCCAACCATCAGGAGGTGTTGTTAAAAGTAAACGAAAAATGGATGCACCAACCTCTATCTTGCATATTTCACATAAATATTAAACTCTTAGGAATTATATGAGAAAGGGAAATTAATTTGTTAATGGACTCAATCTTTATCAAGTCAGTTTCTATGATAATACTAAGCTAGAAAGTTGCCAAAAAATGTATCCATTAAAAGCTGCTTAAGAGATGTTCGACTGCTTGTTAAAGTATCTGGCCGCTGAAGCCATGGATGTATTGAGTGTCCTTGCAATAATCCATACTGTAAAGGCCAACAGGGCATTTTACTTTTGCAGAAAGGCTCAGCCATCTGCTCTGTTTCCGTAACACACATTGCTCAACACTCTGTCACAGTGAATGAAAGAAAGTAAACACGGCATTTGCAAAGCAGTAGTCTTCTGTTCAGTAATGAGACAAGGAGAAATAGAAGTTACCTGGATGTAACTCCAGCTCTATAAGCAGGTGTCCTTTCCAGTCTAGCCGTCCTGTCTATCTAATAATAATTTGGCAAAATAGCAAAAACAATTAAAGCTGCAAGCAGCGACGAACGGGCCCTCGCACCTTCCCGTGTCTCAGGGGAACTGGCGGAACGGCGGCAGACGCGGGCGCGAATGTCTTTGACCATCAGACAATGCGTCCCAGAGTTCAACGTATTTGTCCCGCGTGGACTGTGACCCTGAAAATGATGAAGTGCAAATATTCTACTAGTTCCTGTATCCACTATGTGGCACTAGAGAACACACACAAACATGCATTATGTTGCTCTACATCAAGTGCTCTATTAGGGTCAACTGTAGACAACATCATGTAAATGTCATGTAAATCGGATATTGTTTGTCAAATAATGCTGATTTCCTTTTGCTAGTAGGTGGCTTTTTGACTTACAGTGAAAATTGGCTTGTAGACATCCTCAGGCCATGACTGTTATTAAGCATGGCAAGTTTGGGACAGATTTGAGCAAGTCCAGTGGAGATCAGCTTGCTGTTTCATGGGGAGTCACGTAAAATGGCCGCCACGCCACGGCTACACCATTCAATCAAACGTAAAGCTTTTGATAACGTTTAATCACAAAGATCTTTAGAATGTACTGAACAAATTTGAAATGTATCTGAAAAATTCCCTAGGAAAACTTTGTTAAAGTATAGCGCCTAGAAATGGTGAAAAATGTATGGAAAATTCACACAAACATCAAAATTGTAGACTTCCAGTATGGTTTACAGCATAGTCTCAAGATGCTTTTTTTAAGTCTCCATGTGATACATGTGCCTACATAATTTCATACATCTAGGTGAAACGTACCACTGGGGATGCTCTTTAGAATATTTGTAGGGGGCGCTATCAAGGCAAAACATGTCATTTCCTTTTGCCAGTTGGTGGCGCCAAAAACGTTGTGAAAATGTTGGCATGGAAATGTGCTCAAGCCTGAACTAGCAATATGCATAAGAAATTTGGGGCAGATTGGACAATGTACCTTGGAGTTACAACAACTCTCTATTTCACTACGAATGGCACAATATATATGGAAATCGCATAAAATGACCGCCACGCCACGGCTAAGCCATTCCTTCAAACATAAAGCTTTTGATAACTTTTCACAAAGGTCTTTGGATTGTACTGTCCAAATTTGAAGTGGCTCTGACAAAGTCCCTAGGAGGAGTTCGTTAAAGTATAGCACCTAGAAAGTGGCAAAAATCAAGGGAAAATTCACACAAAAATCGACTTTTGGTTGATTGTAGAGCATGGTCCCAAGATACTTTTTTTTTTTAAGTCTCTATGTGATACGTGTGTCGACTAAATCCCATACATGTAGGTCAAACGAGGCACTGGGGCTGCTTTGTTGAAAATTTGCAGGGGGCGCTATCGAGGCAATTTATAATGGCCAAGCCAAAATCCCATATAAAATATGTCTTCCCATGACCTATGACACATGTACAAAGTTTCATGAGTTTTTGAGTGTCCCAAGCCACTGAACCATAAGCGTCTATTTCAGGGCGAATGATGCATTGCCACGGCAACAGCGTTCAACAAAAACTCACAATATTCATGATGAAGCATCTTCAAAGTCATAAGGCTTTCCTTACTAAATTTGAGACTGATCAGGTCAACTGGCTAGGAGGAGTAAATAAAAGTATAAAATGTGACATTTCCTTTTGCCAATAGGTGGTGCTATGAGTTATTGAAATTACTTTTACGTCTTACAAGATATGTACCAATAAACACCTTAGAGGTGTGTCTTATATATCAATACACATAACTTCTCAACCGTTTGTCCTAAAATCACCAAATTTGCAGCATATGTGCACATCGCATTCTGTAACATACCCTGACATTTTCATTTAATTCAACCACTAGGGGGCACTACAGTACACCCGCCATGTTGTGCTTTTTTGTCACTTTTCGCAGTTTTCAGCCTTTGTACTTTAACGAACTCCTCCTACAGAATTATTGGGATCAACCTCAAATTTGGTCAGGATGCTTTTCAGACCTTTGTGATGAAAATTTATTAAATTTATGCGTTTTCATGGAAGAACCTTGACGTGGAGGGGTGGCCATTTTGCGCTATTCGGCATGAAAAAGGAAATTGTAACTCCAAGGTACATCATCCAATCTGCACAAAATGTCTTATGCATGATGCTACTTCAAGCCTAAGCACATTTCAATGCAAAACTATTTACATAGTCATAGCTCCACCTACTGGCAAAAGTAAATGTCACATTTTATACTTTCATTTACTCGAGTAACTAAAAGTATAAAATGTTGACCTGATGACTTAAATTTGGTAAGAATAGCCTTAACACATTGAAAATGTTTCATCATGAATATTATTTTGTTGAACGCTGTTGCCGTGGCAATGCATCATTCGCAGTGAAAAAGTAAGCTGATGGTTCAATGGCTTGGGATGCTCATAAACTCATGGAACTTTGCAAATGGGTCACAGGTAATGGGCAGACATACTTTATATTACTTTTTGTCTTGGCCATTTTAAATTGCCTCCATAGCGCCCCCTACAATATTACAAAAGAGCAGCCCCAGCGCTATGCTTTACCTACATGTATCAAATTTGGAAGGCATATGTATCACATGGACACACATGAAAAAAAAGCCTCTTGTGACCATGCTCTAAAACCATACAGGAAGTCCGCCATTTTGATTTTTGTGTCATTTTTTGATAGATTTTTGCCCATTTGTAGTCGCTATACTTTAACGAACTCCTCCTAGGTAATTTTTTCTGATCCTCAAATTTGGTCAGTACAATCTCAAGACCTTTGTGATTAAAAGCTTTATATTTGGTCGAATGGTTTAGCCGTAGCGGGCGCCTACTTTACGTGATTCCCCAACAAAAAAGCTGACTCCACTGGACTTGTTCCAAACGGTCAGGATTCAGAGTGCATCATAGCACAGAGACGGCGCTGGTGAAAATAACGAATGACCTTCTAATTGCATCAGACAAAGGACTTGTCTCTGTTCTGGTCTTGTTAGACCTGCTGCGTTCGACACCATTAACCATTACATCCTGTTACAGAGACTAGAACATTTGATTGGCATTAAAGGAAATGCACTAAGCTGGTTTAAGTACTATTTATTAGATCGATCTCAGTTTGTATATGTAAACGATGAAACCTCCATGCATACCAAAGTTAGTCAAAGAGTTCCAGAAGCTTCTGTGCCTGGACCAATTTTATTCACCTTATGCATGCTTCTTTTAGACAATATTATCAGAAAACAGTCTTTCATTGTTATGCAGATGATACCCAATTATATCTATCGATCAAGCCAGACAAAACCAACCAGTTCGCTAAACTTCAAGCATGTCTTGAGGACATAAAAACCTGGATGACCTGCAACTTCCTGACGTTAAACTCAGACAAAACAAAACAACAAAAGTTATTCTACTAGGCCCAGAACACCTCCGAAATCAATTATCTAATGATATAGTTTCTCAAGATGGCATTGCGCTGGTATCCAGCAACACCGTAAAGAATCTCGGAGTTATCTTTGAGTACGATATGTCCTTTAACTCCCACACAAAACAAATCTCAAGGACTGCCTTTTTTAATCTACGTAACATTGCAAAAATCAGGCAAATCCTGTCTCAAAGCGATGCAGAAAAATGTGTTCACACATTTGTTACTTCTAGACTAGATTACTGCAATTCCTTATTATCAGGCTGCTCTAATAAATCTCTTAAATCTCTCCAGTTGATCCAGAATGCTGCAACAAAAACTAAGATGAGAGATCATATTACTCCTGTATTAGATTCTCTCCACTGGCTCCCTGTAAAATCACAAATCAAATTTAAAATCCTTCTACTTACCTACAAAGCCCTAATTGGTCAGGCACCATCATATCTTAATGAGCTTATAGTACCATCTTACCCCACAAGAGAGCTGCGCTCCCTGAATTCAGGGTTACTTGTGGTTCCTAGAGTCTTAAAAAGTAGGATGGGAGCCAGGGCCTTCAGTTATCAAGCTCCTCTTCTGTGGAACCAGCTTCCAGTTTCAGTCCGGGGGGCAGACACACTCACCACATATAAGAGTATGCTCAAGATTTTCCTTTTTGATAACGTTTATAGTTAGGGCTGGCTCAGGTTTGCGTTGGACCAGCCCCTAGATATGCTGCTACAGGCCTAGACTGCTGACTCCTTTGATACACTGAGCTCCTCTCTCGTCTTCTCTTTCTCCTTCTATATGAATTCATGTCCCATTAATGCACATCGCTAACTTTGTTATTAGTAGTCGTAATTTTTCCATTCCATTTTCTGATCCTGCCTCCGTTGACTTTAAGCAGTCCTCTTTCCTGGGTACCTGG